AACCAGTCCACTCAGCCTCTCTGTCCCACTATAACCAGTCCACTCAGTCTCTCTGTCCCACTATAACCAGTCCACTCAGCCTCTCTGTCCCACTATAACCAGTCCACTCAGTCTCTCTGTCCCACTATAACCAGTCCACTCAGCCTCTCTGTCCCACTATCACCAGTCCACTCAGCCTCTCTGTCCCACTATAACCAGTCCACTCAGTCTCTCTGTCCCACTATAACCAGTCCACTCAGTCTCTCTGTCCCACTATAACCAGTCCACTCAGTCTCTACAGTATTAAAACCAGTGTAAATTTGATAGAAGTGCTCCTGAGGGTGTAGAGATAACATGCACGCTCACTTTCACTGCTGGACCCCCTGTGTCTGTTTTTCAATACATTTTTTATCGGTTTTGGACTTTATGAAGTGAAGACATATATTTTTTTATAGTATTTTCTGCACCATTAATATATTATTTCCAATATTGACTGGGTATTTTTTGTCAAAGTGAAATGACTGGCCAGCAGGGAGGGCTGCAGGGTTAAAGCTTGGGAAATGTGGTGTTTGCTGTCTTTAACTTAAAGAGTACAACTTAATAACTGAGGCCATGTCAACGGTGCTAAAAGGATTTGTCTCAGTCGATGCAAGAAGTTAATGACTGTCCATTTGTAAATATATATTTATGTTTCGTTTTAAAAGTGTCAGATTTCACTAGACCGATGTATTGAATATGATCCGGCTGTAAATATATTCCCAGCTGTACTGGTTGACATTCTCTCATTAACTTTGTGATACAGAGTCGTCTCTAGTTTCATCACTGTGATGTGGTCACAGCGGCGAGCTGAAGGTTTGCAGTAAAGCTGGCTTCATTAGAGCTCTTACTGAAAACTATCACATAGCGTCTTCAATTTGTTTGATGTTTTCTTTAATATCAAAAGTCTACCAACATCAGACATTGCAGGAGACAGCACAGGCAGTCCAAGCTGACCAGTAACAATCTCCACATGATATAAAGGGACAAAGGCTATAAACGTCGTTGACCATGACCTTAAACCTCCCTATCTGGTGTCGACAGGACTAAATGGTTATTTCTCATTTGGTTATTGTCAGCTATAATTTATTACATATTTATTGGATCAACAAATCAAATATATTCATATTTGTATAGAATGTGGAAGATAATGTGACAACATTTTCCTTCCTGCTTGGAAAGTAAATCTCATGAGATACAACCACCGGCAAGCCCGTTCAGGTCATTCCACTCACACTGGCACAGTACCAGGGTGTTACCTTTCAGAGGACAGCACGTGTGTGTGCCTGCTTAGCTTGGAGCGGCTGTAAGATTTTTATTGCATGCATATTTGATTGACCACTCTGCCCCACACCCAAATAATAACATATCAAAGCAATAAGAAATCAGAAAATGGCACTTTGTCAGGCATCTCTCCTGAGCTCTGTATCATTTTACAAAAGGCATTTCCCCTTCTTTCTTTATTTCCCCTTTCTTTTTTTCCTCTGGAATGCTGTCTTAAAAGAGGTGGTTTCTGCTTTCGCCTCCATTTGTTCTCAGCAGGACTCAGTCAAACACTACACTGAGCTAAGGTGACCCAATAGTGGCTGTGATATACGTCTGTCTTACTTTACCAAACATCGGGTGCTATCGTTGAACAGATCACTGGTAGCATTACATGATAACACAATACCATCCCTCTGTGGGCCAGCAAGCCTTCAGACATTAGGAACAATAGCGGCTTTGTCAGGAGTCTCTACAGCTCTGTGTGCTGTCTAAAAATATCTAAATACTTCTTCCTCTCTTACCTGATAGGGCACCTTCATACTCTCCCACCTAAATCAATTATGGGGACATATCCCTAATGATGGATTCCTGCAAAAATATGAATGCAACTCCATTAGATTCATATGTTAACAAACTCCTGTAGGTTTGTTGTAATATGAGAAAGGGAGCTCCTTTCTCCAGGACACATCAGAATATTGCACACTGCCAATGTATTTCTATTGTATTGAAGAGTACAGACTTGTTGGTGTCATTTTTTCCTAGATTTGAACAATGAATCAAATGACTCTATGCCAAAGGGGTCTCTTGCAGTGACAAATCCACAGAAAATGATCTTTTACCAGTGACTTAAACACAGCCCTTTCTTTGTCTGCTGGATTCAGTTACACCTTGTTCTACCAAAACAAGGCATCTAAGAGGTCTACAGCATATCTTTAGTTTTATCATCCTTATTGTCTATACTCTAATTGTATTATATTGGCTATTCTGTAAAACAACAACACACAAAACGTTCTGATCAGTTACACAGTACACTACCTACCCAGCACCAAACAGCAGACAAAGTAAGTGACTAGCTTGAGAACATAGCAAGAACTTGAGGCATTGTAATTTGGGAGGGGATACTATGTTGAAGTCCCAGATCATTTCAGAAGTTGGAGGCAACACAACAAGAATGATTACAGGAAATAGAACACTATAATTATGACTGGAGTGTATTGTAATAGAGAGTTGTGTGCATACTTCTTTAGATATGCATTGCACCTTTCATCACATCACTAAATTCACCATTTATACTCTTTGGAGGTCTGCCCTTTGCTCAGGGTATTTATATATCTCTATTTGTGTTTGTCTGAGGGTTTCAAGAAAAGAAAAGAAAGTTGTAATTTAATGAAAATAAGTCATATTTCAAGAAATAATCTACCTGCTGTATAGTCTACTGTGCATTATGTTATCACTCTGTGCTCTGCTAATATGCTAGTATCCTCTTCAAACCGTCTGGAAGACACAGAAGGACTCTAGATGAGACGGTGTGTGCTGCTCTTCATTGGAGGTGGTGAAGTTACGTTTGTGCAGACATTCAGCTACAAAATGGATGAGTGAATGAATGGAGGTATACGCCTGATCAGAAGTGTTTGCAGTTCATTTTGGTTATCCAACTTCGATAAAGTGCAGCTCATTGCCTTCAGCTGTTCAGTGGGAAGCCTCCTGGAGTCTGAAGACAGCCCCAAACAGAGCAAAGAGGATAAACGAAGCACATCTCGGAACTCTCATTCAGACTCTTGCTTGGCGTGACTGTCCTTCAGACTCAGTCAGCGTGACTCTTGTTCAGACTCTCGTTCAGCGTGACTCTTGGTCAGACTCTCATTCAGCGTGACTCTTGGTCAGACTCTCATTCAGCGTGACTCTCTTGGTCAGACTTACTTTTCGGTGCGACTCTCGTTCCGATAATAAGTCATTCATGAGCACACACCAGTGAAGTCAAAGAAGAAGGAGACAGACTCAGGCTCTGTTTAGCGAGAACAATACGCAAACACACTGAGCCGAAGAACAATAGCCGATTTGGACTGAATTTCTGCTCTTTTCATGTTTTTATAGTGGGGGACAAATGCACATGTTTAAACATTTTCCCTGCGCCCTAACCTAAGCCTTTGCTATTTAGTTTGAACAAAATTATTTGAGGTCGCCTCATTGCAGACACACTCAGGTCTGTACTCTATTGTTGCAGGATGAATGAAACATATTTGTCCACCAGGAAATGAAAAGGCATTCCAGGAGCTGCCATTGGCTCATTTCCACTGGGCTTTCTCAAGGGACTCTTTATCTTATTGCTCGGATCAGGAGACAAGCAGCTAGCAGGGGTCAGCTGTGTGACGTTTGGTCACCTTGTGCAGAACGCTGAGAAAACAAAGAGGCTCTTTCTGATGGCCTTCGTCCCCTGTTATCAAAAGCAGCTGTTAGCTGCACCATTTTATCAAGACTTAATTTTGTGGTGAAAGAACTTCACCTTCTTGCCAGATGTAAAAGGCCACTGAGGCAGAACAGAGTGACAAACAGGCCAGTGCAGGAATGTTCTCATGCTGGCATCCCAATCTCTCTCTGTCCCATTGCAGCTTCACTCAAATACTATTGAATCACATACCTTGAATCTGCCTTTATTTCATGAACACTGTTGATCAATTGAATGTACAGCTGACTGTTAAAACCACATGTCTCTGTCCTATGGTATGCTTGCTGGGGTCCAAGGCTGAAACATGTATTGTTGGTA